TTGAAACATCTCAAATAGTTTAGGTAGAATCTTTAGCATAGCTTCTCGGAAATATATCGATTAGACTTTATCATTTTTATGTTATCTTCACAGCATCAAGAATATTTAGTGGTACCCAACTGTAGAATTACATTTTCGTGCAAAAAGTAAGAGATACATATACAAAAAGTATACAGGGTGATTCAAAATTGGCGTCATTCTTTTTAAGGGGTGATGGAGGCTCACTTGGGGAGTTCGAAAAAAATATAAAAACATTTTTTTTTGTAAATTTCTAGAACATATTACTGCTTTGCTTCAAATTACGAAAATTTTCGATATTGAAAAAGTTCTGTTCTACAATTTTTCGATGAAAAGGCACAGCGGCAATGATGTTTTTGACAGGTGGATAGCCCTTGTCAATAATAACAATAATCTGTCAAACTGTGACTTACTTTGAATTTTCTTTTACGAATTTACGGATCTGCGATTAGTTCAGGGGAAATGCTACAGTAACAAAGCAGAAGCTGAAAGAATTCACGCCAACAAAGGGAGAGGAGAGTGGTTTCAGGAAGGTAGTGGACGACAATAGATGTTCGGGTTCCAGGCACAGAGGAACAAGTATTGGACATAATCGAATCAGGGCCTTACCGGCTACATTCCAACCACGTTTGTACGATACAAACAGTAGTGTGATGTAAAGCATCCGGCGTTGTTGGGGTAGGTCAGGTTTTTTAATCCAAACATTGTACTTTTTGCATAAGCATTTTTGAATTTTCCGGTTTGTGTGCCTCCAACGTGTTTGATCTACGTGTAAAGGAAATGTATTGGTGTGGTATATGCTTTGTACCATCTCGAATAGTTTAGGCAGTATCTTTAGCGTAGCTTATTGGGAATATATCGATTTAACTTTATAATTTTTACGTTAAAGTTCAGCAACTCCATCGCAATGGGAAGAGAATTGGGCTACACATTTTTCTGCCACTAGAGTTTCTATTTGAATATACATCGATATATACAGGGTGGCCCTTTTCTGAATCTTTGTATGGATAACTTTTTAACATTTTTAAAGATAGAGAATCCGTTAAATGGGCAAAGATGGGCTGAATTCGATTGCCTATTTATTGCCGTTTTTAAAATGTAGGTACCCGACTTGGCTCCTGAAATATCATAAAAATACAATAAATCAACACGATTTTAATTATCACATATTAGTAAACTGCTTAACATAGAAAAAAAGTTTAAACTGGCTTTAGTACAACTTTTTGCGTTGAATTTAATAAAGCACTAAACAAGATCTGTTTGTTTTGTAAGCCAAGAATTTTTTTTATCGCTTATTAATTTATACGAGTTTTAAGAATAGGAATTAATTTTAGAATAAACTAGGCTGAGACACATATGTACTAAACAAGGGCAGAAAGTGTCCTTGTTCCGTCCTTGTCCACCGATTGTGTCGATAGCCTTTTTCTGTAGGAAATAAAGACTATTTATATATTACAGTTGAGTCTGGATATAACAAACTTTAAAAATGAACTAAAACTGGTTCGTTATATCCGGAGTTCGCTATAAGCGAATAATAATATAAAAACACGTGGTGTATTTTATTTCGTTATTTTTACATATAGTAGTAGAAGTTAGTCGGTATAACTAAAAAGAACACAAAAGATAAACAGAACACAATTTGAAATCTACTTCACAAAGTCTGTAATTTTTGTTTGTACATTTCTGCTGCAAAAATAGATGTGATTTATGTAGTTTTCAAGATCACAAAATGACTCCCAGATATGATTAGGAACTTGACGTGATTGTAGAAAATTACTAGTTTTTATCATTTCAGAAATGGTTGAAACAGCGTTAGTATCTACAGTAGAATCAGTTTCACTTAAATCGTCATCTTTCTCATTATCGCTTAAAGCTGTAGATGATGTTACGGAGTCTATAATTTGCTCATCGGTCAACATTTCTCTTGTAAGAATGCCATTATCAATGCTCACATATTCGAAGAAATTGAAATCACTCAA